TATCTCAAAATTTTGACTGTCCATAGAAAAAATTGAACCATTGAGTTTACTGCAGAACGAATGATGCAGAATCACATACGCCATTGTCAGAACGACTTATAGTTTATTTATATGCTAACTGTACACGTCTGAACACTTTTACAGAAATTCGTAAAAAGGTCGTTATCCCAATATTTTGACTGTTCATAAAAAAATAGAACCAATGAGGTTATAGCAGAATGAATGATGCAGAATTGTATACGTCATTTAATGCAATTGTTTGCTAATTGCTCACGTCTAAATATTTTTACAGAAATTCCTGAAAATTTCAATATCTCAAAATTTTGACTGTCCATAGAAAAAATTGAACCATTGAGTTTACTGCAGAACGAATGATGCAGAATCACATACGCCATTGTCAGAACGACTTTTAATGTATATGTTTAATAGTTGCATATTTCTGAACATTTTTACAGAAACTCGTGAAAATGTCGATATCGCAAAATTTTGACTGTCCATAGAAAAAATAGAACCAATGAGTTTATAGCAGAATGGATGATGCAGAATCGCATACGCCATTGTCAGAACGACTGTTAATGCATTTATTTGCTAATTGCACACGTCTGAACATTTTTACAGAAATTTGTGATAATGTCGATATCCCAAAAATTTGACTGTTCATAAAAAAATAGAACCAATGAGGTTATAGCTGAATGAATGATACAGAATCGCATACGCCATTGTCAGAACGACATTGAATACAGTTATTTGCTAATTGCACATGTCTGAACATTTTTACAGAAATTCGTTAAATTGTCGATATCCCAAATTTTTACTGTCCATAGAAAAAATAGAACCAATGAGTTTATAGCAGAATGGATGATGCAGAATCGCATACGCCATTGTCAGAACGACTGTTAATGCATTTATTTGCTAATTGCACACGTCTGAACATTTTTACAGAAATTTGTGATAATGTCGATATCCCAAAAATTTGACTGTTCATAAAAAAATAGAACCAATGAGGTTATAGCTGAATGAATGATGCAGAATTGCATACGCCATTGTCAGAACGACATTTAATGCATTTGTTTGCTAATTGCTCACGTCTGAACATTTTTACAGAAATTCGTGAAAATGTCAATATCTCAAAATTTTGACTGTCCATAGAAAAAATAGAACCATTGAGTTTATAGCAGAACGAATGATGCAGAATCACATACGCCATTGTCAGAACGACTTTTAATGTTTTTTTTTGCTAGTTGCATATTTCTGAACATTTTTACAGTAATTCGTGAAAATGTCGATATCCCAAAATTTTGATTGTCCACAGAAAATATAGAACCATTGAGTTTATAGCAGAATGGATGATGCAGAATCGCATAAGCCATTGTCAGAACGACTGTTAATGCATTTATTTCCAAATTACACACGTCTGAACATTTTTACAGAAATTGGTGAAAATGTCGATATCCCAAAATTTTGACTGTCCATACAAAAAATAGAACCATTGAGTTTATAGCAGAATGAATGATGCAGAATTGCATACGCCATTGTCAGAACGACATTTAATGCATTTGTTTGCTGATTGCACACGTCTGAACATTTTTACAGAAGTTTGTGAAAATGTCAAAATCTTCAAAAAAATAGAACCAATGAGTTTATAGCAGAATGAATGATGCAGAATCGCATATGCCATTGTCCGAACAACTGTTAATGCATTTATTTGCGAATTGCACAGTCTGAACATTTTTACAGAAATTCGTGAAAATGTCGATATCCCAAAATATTTACTGTCCATAAAAAAAACCAATGAGTTTATAGCAGAATGGATGATGCAGAATCGCATACGCCATTGTCAGAACGACTGTTAATGCATTTATTTGCTAATTGCACAGTCTGAACATTTTTACAGAAATTAGTGAAAATGTCGATATCCCAAAATTTTGACTGTTCATAAAAAAATAGAACCAATGAGGTTATAGCTGAATGAATGATGCAGAATTGCATACGCCATTGTCAGAACGACTTTTAATGTATATGTTTAATAGTTGCATATTTCTGAACATTTTTACAGAAACTCGTGAAAATGTCGATATCGCAAAATTTTGACTGTCCATAGAAAAAATAGAACCAATGAGTTTATAGCAGAATGGATGATGCAGAATCGCATACGCCATTGTCAGAACGACTGTTAATGCATTTATTTGCTAATTGCATACGTCTGAACATTTTTACAGAAATTTGTGATAATGTCGATATCCCAAAAATTTGACTGTTCATAAAAAAATAGAACCAATGAGGTTATAGCTGAATGAATGATACAGAATCGCATACGCCATTGTCAGAACGACATTTAATGCATTTGTTTGCTAATTGCTCACGTCTGAACATTTTTACAGAAATTCGTGAAAATGTCAATATCTCAAAATTTTGACTGTCCATAGAAAAAATAGAACCATTGAGTTTATAGCAGAACGAATGATGCAGAATCACATACGCCATTGTCAGAACGACTTTTAATGTTTTTTTTTGCTAGTTGCATATTTCTGAACATTTTTACAGTAATTCGTGAAAATGTCGATATCCCAAAATTTTGATTGTCCACAGAAAATATAGAACCATTGAGTTTATAGCAGAATGGATGATGCAGAATCGCATAAGCCATTGTCAGAACGACTGTTAATGCATTTATTTCCAAATTACACACGTCTGAACATTTTTACATAAATTGGTGAAAATGTCGATATCCCAAAATTTTGACTGTCCATACAAAAAATAGAACCATTGAGTTTATAGCAGAATGAATGATGCAGAATTGCTTACGCCATTGTCAGAACGACATTTAATGCATTTGTTTGCTGATTGCACACGTCTGAACATTTTTACAGAAGTTTGTGAAAATGTCAAAATCTTCAAAAAAATAGAACCAATGAGTTTATAGCAGAATGAATGATGCAGAATCGCATATGCCATTGTCAGAACAACTGTTAATGCATTTATTTGCGAATTGCACAGTCTGAACATTTTTACAGAAATTCGTGAAAATGTCGATATCCCAAAATATTTACTGTCCATAAAAAAAAACCAATGAGTTTATAGCAGAATGGATGATGCAGAATCGCATACGCCATTGTCAGAACGACTGTTAATGCATTTATTTGCTAATTGCACAGTCTGAACATTTTTACAGAAATTAGTGAAAATGTCGATATCCCAAAATTTTGACTGTTCATAAAAAAATAGAACCAATGAGGTTATAGCTGAATGAATGATGCAGAATTGCATACGCCATTGTCAGAACGACTTTTAATGTATTTGTTTGCTAGTTGCATATTTCTGAACATTTTTACAGAAATTCGTGTAAATGTCGATATCGCAAAATTTTGACTGTCCATAGAAAAAATAGAACCAAAGAGTTTATAGCAGAATGGATGATACAGAATCACATACGCCACTGTCAGAACGACTTTTAATGTATTTGTTTGCTAGTTGCTGTGACGACATGTTTTCACTTTGAAGCTGGGATAGTTCAACGGAGGGCCAGGGTCGTCACAAGAATTTATTTATGTTGTGGGACTTATAAGAGAGGAAGACTGTTTATTTTTTTATCAACGTTATAAAATTTATTGATTTCACTAAATTATTCATTTCACACATTTGTAGTTTTGATAACACACAACACACTGTAGCAGCACGGCGAGGACGACACCCGAATATTTGCGGTAGCGGCAGTCCGATGACGGCAAACGAAGATCGTCGATAACTAGGCAAGGCAGCAGCCCGATGACGACGCACGCAGAATGACGGCAGCAAAGCACAGCGGCAGCCCGATGACAGCACTCGAAGGTTGGCAGCAGCTAGGCACAGCGGTAGCCCGATGACAGCACACGAAGAATAACGGCAGCCCGATGGCCGCACACGAAGGTTGGCAGCAGCTAGGCACAGCGGCAGCCCGATGACAGCACTCGAAGGTTGGCAGCAGCTAGGCACAGCGGTAGCCCGATGACAGCACACGAAGAATAACGGCAGCCCGATGGCAGCACACGAAGGTTGGCAGCAGCTAGGCACAGCGGCAGCCCGATGACAGCACGAGTCGAGGGAACGTTTAAAACCCCACTCAACCCTACCGACTGCTCTCACTGCGGTCTGAGAGAGGAGGGAACGTTAAAACCCCGCTCCACTCAACAGCCGAGACACTCACACAAACCTTAGAGCCGAGGGAACGTTAAAACCCCACTCAACTCTAAAGCCCACACGAACATATGTCTGGAGAGGGAGGGAACGTTAAAACCCCACTCCACTCAACAGCCGAGACACACACACACAAAAACCTTAGCGCCAAGGGAACGTAAAAACCCCACTTAACTCTCTAGACGACACAAACTAACTAAATTTACTGCCAAGGGAACGTTAAAAACCCCACTTAGCACAACAGCCATCCACAGAAGACTGTCCCGATTGTGTCGATTTCGCCTCCTTTTATACTGTTTCAGTGGCTCGATGTCGACTGATTATATTTTGACGCCGTACGGATCTCATCGTCGTTGTTCAGGGTTAGTCTATCATATGACCACTAGGGGGATCAGTTTGACCGTTAATTTCAAAAACAAAACCGAATACCATAAATTTCATATATTTTCTTTAAATAACTAGTAATTCAATTATTGTGTCACATAACATAAAACATGATTCCAAATAAAATATTAATACATTTATAATTCAAATATTTTATTTAATTTTGTGGCCCAAAAACGAGTTTCCGACTTTTGGCCCGTCACAAGGCCTTCCATCTCTCCCCTGATTTGTTTTCCATCTTATGTGGCTTGGTCTAGCCTGTTGCATATCAACAGCCGGAAGCCCAGCGAATTGTTCAATTTAATATTCTCGCCTCCTCAATTTCTACGTCCTTTCACCTAGCGTGAATTCGGGTGAATTTTGGAGGCCCCCGTAGAGATTTTTGTGGAAGACCATCACTGCACCATTGGCCGTGACGGTAATTCGGTATTGTTGTTCTCGCCCGTTTGCCCCTTTTGGACCTACTCAGGAATTTGACAATAATGTCCCGCAAGTCACTAGGATAGTTATCCGGGGGAACTTGGCTCCAAGTGTCATGACTGTTGCTAATTTGTTCCTTCCCTTCGGTGATGGAAGTTGTGCCTTGGCTTGGACGTTCTTTACCCTCTTCCGCATTCGGGACGAATATTTCTTCTAGGTAGTTTGAGTGGTGGCTAGTTGGTGCTACGTTGGCGCATAAGGGGACTTTTGATATTTTTGTGGGGGATGATGGTTCTCTCGGGTTGGTAAATGTGTTACTGGAAATTATGAATGGTAGTTGGCATGGTATATATGATGAAGTTGATGATGAGGATGATGATGATTTTGAGGGTGACGAAGATGAACTCGCCAATGAGTATGACGTTTGCGAAAAACCTTGTCCCACTATTCCATCACCCTTCGTGTTTGTAAATGGCGTTCTCGGATTCTCGGCTACCGGCCTTTCAGTTACATTCACATTCCGTTCTGTCGCCATTTCTGGTTCAATCGAAATTCGAATAGGTGATGGAGTCTTTACTCCAACTAATGCGTGCCACTGCGTCCATCATTCCAGGTTTGGGGTTTCGGAAACGGTTACGAAACTGTTTACTGACGATCTTGAAGCTTCCTCGTCAGTGTCGCTTGTTACTTGGGTGGCAGCTATGGTTTCTGAACTGTCAATTATGGGCTCCAAATCGGGCATTTGATCATATATACTTGGTTCTGCGGATAAGGCCTTACTAATTTCTTCTCCGTTGTTGGCTAGTATCGGTGTTTTATCCTGATCCGGAACCAGCAATTCTACAGTGACAGTTCGTTCGTAGCATCTGAACCCCAAATAGCGATACTCACGATCTTTCTGCTCGATGAAACCCAAACCTTTCCTAGGCTTTGGACTTGGGCATTTGTAGTTTTCTTCATCGGACTCGGTGGATGATGGACTAGGAGGTGCTATCGGCGACTTCTTCTCAATATTCTTATCCTCATACCCATAGAAGTTACGCCACTCATCTTCATCTATGTCTGAAACAGATGATTCGCCGCTCGTCTCCATCGGTGGTCGTGGAAGCGTGGATTGTTCGTCGAAGTAATTGGCAAAATTCTTTCCCGGCGTGATCGGCAACTCGGAATATATGGAAGTAGTGGGTGTGTTTATATCGGACATATCGGTACTATCTTGAGTTGACTCACTGCATGATATGTATATTGGTGTTCGTGGTACCTCAGGATGTACGGTGGCATCATTCGGACGTGGTGAACCTTGCCTTTCTGTGCGCTTTTCATTATTTTTGCCATGTGTATCTGGGAATGTCGGGCGTACGTCTGCGATATTATTGGCTGTTTCTTCCATTCTAAAGAATATATGATCTTCGCCTCTTAGGGATGGAGGGCGATCCCGTTGTTTTGTACATCGTCTCGGTGCATTGCGGCTGGTACTCGGAATATCATCGTCATCAATAAAAATGGTTCGACGTCGCTGTGACTCTGCCCTCTCAAAGTGGGTACGGAATTTTTTCATCGCTTCCTTAAATTTTTTTGTCTTTGGACTATCTCCGTCCATAATCGCAGTGTGTTGTGAGATGTAGATAACAATTTCAGAACTTATCTTAAACACGTATTTGTTATTATATTTATATATTTTCTTTCTTAAATTACTTTTTGGCTAATACCGTCGTTGTCTAAAAGAAAAAAAAAGAAAACAAAACAATGAAACACACAAACGGTCTAAATGATAGAGGAATATTAAGTTATAGATCTTCTACATAAAGCCTCTCCGAAATAATGTTTTAATTTATTCGAAATACTTCTTAAGACCACTGACATGCACTGTACGCATGTCCTTTTCGTTCGCCCTGACCACCACAATTACTGGTGATTTATATTTTTCCACCACATATGGGCCCCCATATTTCGGGGCCAGTTTCGCCGCAAAGTTATCGATGGCTCTTGATTGGGGGTGCAATCTAATAAGAACCTTTTCCCCAATTTTTGGTTTCCATGCCCGATGTCGGAGATTGTAGTGTCGTTTCTGATTTTGTGCTGCTTTGGCTAGATTTCGTCGGACTATTATAAATATTTCCCTTAATTCCAGCGCTCGGTCTTCAGGTAAAACTATTCTGGCACCTGTTCCAGTTGTAACTTGGTCGTATAAGGCCTGTGGTAGCCTAGGTTCACGGCCTTGTGTTAGAAATGCCGGGGAATATCCTGTGGATTCGGAGGCACTAGTATTAATAGCCAACATAATTTCAGGCAACGCGTCGTCCCATTTATTATGATGTTGCCGGGATACTTGCGCAATCATAGTCTTAACAGTTCTGTTAGTTCTTTCAGTAGGGTTCTCTTGGGGAGTATATGGCGCTGTTAGCTGGTGTTTTATGCCCATTTCCTTCAAGAATTTCTCCCACTTTGCACTGGTAAACTGGGCGCCATTATCCGTAATAATCATCTTTGGTACGCCATACCGGGAAACTATCCTCTCTCGACAACCTTTGATTAGACCATCCGTTGTGGCTTTTCTAAGGGGTATTAGTTCTGTCCATTTCGAGAAACGATCCATAATTACCAACAGCATCGAGTTTCCGTGAGTCGACCGCGGAAGAGGTCCCACGAAATCCGCACATATTGTGGCCCATGGTTCCTCGGAGACTCGAGTTAACATTTCGCCAGCCGGTTGTTGTTGGCTTGATTTATATTTTTGGCACAATGCACATTTTTTACATATCGTTTTATATCCTGGAACATACCCGGCCAGAAGTATCGGTTAGCCACTTTGTAACTAGTTTTCCGCATGCCCAGGTGACCACCGGCGAGACTATCGTGATTTTCCTCTAGTACCCTCTCCCTGGATGTGATTGGTACACACAATTTCCACGGAGTGCAGTCGTCGTCGTTTGCTTGCCGAGGAAAATGCCGATATACGTGGTCATCAATAAGGGTATAATCCGGATATTTTTTTGGATTCTTTACGATACCTTCCTTCAATTTGTCTATCCAAGGACATCCATTCTGACTTTCCTTGATGGTGGCTAATTCCAAAATCTCCACTGGTTGCCTCGAGAGTGTGTCTGCTACAACATTTTGTTTTCCTCTACGGTATTTCACAACGAAGGAATATTGTTGGAGCTCGAGGGCCCATCGTGCCAATCTTCCTGAAGGACTCTCTATTGAGTTCAACCATTTAAGCGCGAGGTGATCCGTAATTACAATAAATTGGTAGCCCTCCAAAAATGGGCGCATTTGCCTTATGCCCCAAATTATAGCGAGGCACTCTTTTTCTGTAGCCGAATAGTTCTTCTCAGCCCCGTTTAAGTGTCTGCTGGCATACGCTATCACCCGCTCCTCTCCCTCTAATTCTTGAGTGAGGACTGCTCCTAATCCATAATTACTGGTATCTGTCTGGAGGGTAAATGGTTGGGTGAAATCTGGACATGCCAATACGGGGGCCTCGGTTAATTTCGCCTTAAGTGTTTCGAATGCCATTTGTTGTTCCTGTCCCCATTTCCAATGCTTACCCTTCTTTAATAGGCTGGTTAGTGGCTGTGAGATGGTTGCAAATTGTGGAACAAATCTTCTATACCACGATGCAACTCCGAGGAAGCGCCGTACTTCCTTTACTGACGTCGGGGATTTTATCCTTTGATGGCCGCCACCTTGTCCGGATCAGTTTTGATACCATCCCCGCTAACTACGTGGCCCAAATACTTTGTCTCCTTCTTGAAAAACTCGCATTTGTCCATGTTAATTTTAAGGTTAGCGGCCCGGAGTCGGACAAATACATTCCTCAAATTTGTAAGATGCTCCTCGAATGTTCTTCCTATGACTATAATGTCATCCAAATACGCAAAAGCATTTGGTTCCATTTCCGGCCCGATGACACTATCTAGGGCTCGCTGGAAAGTTGCTGGTGCCGAGTGCAATCCAAACGGCATAACCTTCCATTGGTAGAGTCCTTTCCCGGCGACTACAAACGCAGTATACTTTCGACTGTCCGCAGCCAAGGGAATCTGCCAATAACCGTTTTTCAGATCTAAGCTACTTACAAATTTTGCATCTCTTAGGCGATTTAATATCGTGTCTATACGTGGCAATGGGTAGGCATCCGGTACAGACCTTTTATTTAATTGTCGAAAATCCATACACGTTCGCCAGTATGGACTTTTTGAGGGTTCAACACATCCTTGATCAATTAGCTTATTCACCTCTGCGTCTATGATTGCTTGCATGGCTGGGTTTCGGGGAGCATACCTTAATTTTATGGGGCGATCATCCGTCATGACAATTTTATGTTCAGTTATATTGGAGAGCCCTTTTATCTGTTCGAAAAGTGGTATTTCTTCTGAAAAGAATTTTTGCATGACTCTTTGCTGCTCGTCACTTAATTGATTATTGCTTATTCTATTTTGGGGTAATATTTCCGCGGGTCGACCACATATAACTGCTTTTCTTACCTCTTTCTGGGTAGGGTTAGCCTCGCTGACCATGATACACTGTTCCGTTTGCCGTTCCGGTTCGTAGAGTGTCACGCTGAGTCCGGCACAATAAATCGTAGTGGGGAATCGCTTGAAAAATTCCAGACCAATGATGATATCTTCTTTGAATTTGGGCATTATTAGGAATGGCATTTCTGTACTTTGACTTCCAAAAATTACGTGGAGCGTAATTGACTTGGTAATATTAACAGCGGTCCCATCTGCAAGAATAACATTTGTTTGGTGTCGATTATACACTGGATTTTGCTTCAATTTTTCGGCTAACTCCTTTTTTATAAAACAACTTGTGGCCCCCGTGTCCACTGTAGCGGTTACTAGTCGTCCTTCAATGACCATTGTGGCGGTTAGTCGGTTCGCCTCGCATTTAAATGAAGTTTTGTAATTTCTTTTTGGGACCGGCTCTTCCGTAGCCCAATAATTTCTTTCTATTCGGTGAGAGTTAGGTTTTGAATAATCTGTATTTCGATTGAAGTTCTGGTAATGGCGTGGTGGTTCATGTCGGACGGTATTTGGAATACTTTCCATGTCATCTGCTAGCTTAATCAATTCCGACAAGGAGTTAAAGTCTTTGCGTCTTATGTACCACTGGTATTCTGCTAGGGAATTTCTAAAAATACGTTCCAGCTTTTGTTCTTCCGTCATTTCCGCGTGTTGCATTAGCTTCTGGATGGCCAAGACGTACTCCTTGAAAAATTCCTTGGGTCTTTGTAGTCTTTTTCTGATTTCGTCATCTAGTTTTTCAAAATATCTTGGAGGTAAAAAGAAATTTAGGAAATCTCTCTTGAATTCTTTCCAGCTTATCCAGTGTCCGTTATTGTTCCTCAGCCATATGAGAGCCTTATCCTGAAAGAGTTCCGGCATAGTTTTTATAAGATGGTTTAATTCTACTCCGAAAATTAGCGCTAGTTCTTCTATGCGTTCTATAAACTCTATAGGATCCCTGCCCTGGTTAAATTTGATGTTCCACTTATGTACTTGATCAAGCAGGTTGACTGGACTATGCTCCGTTCCAGGAAGGTTAGCTAACGGAGGAACGTTCTCGGTTTTCAGCGTTGATTCTTGGCTTTGCCGGTCTTCACTGGTCACTTTAGTTGGATCCATGGTTTGATAAACGGGGTAGGTTGATTTCTCAGCTTTTACTGGCGATTTATTGATTGTATCACTTGGGGAAATAGTAATCATCGGCAGTTTTGACGGAGAGCGGAAAGTTGATGTGGATGGAATGTTCCCGTTTTCATGTTTATTTTGCAATTCATGCAATCTTTTCCTTGTTGCTTCGTCGTGATCTTGATTTAAGAACTTCGCCCATCGCTTACGAAGATCGTCCACATTCCCAGTAGAATCTAATTTAAATTCCAAAAGATACCCCACTAGATCTTCTTGTTTCAAGGTGTATGCCCAGGATACTCGTAACATCTTTACTATTTTGTAATTCGGTTTTCCTTTGTTTTTTTTTTCACGAATTTATTTATTTTTACACCACGGAATGTTTATCACTGTCTCTAAAGTCTTGCTTCTTCTAGGTGTCAATATTTTATTTTTTTTTTCATTTAACACGTCTATAGATATTGTTGTTTTTTCTCTCTCTTAATGTACCTGCTCGGGCGCCATTGTGACGACATGTTTTCACTTTGAAGCTGGGATAGTTCAACGGAGGGCCAGGGTCGTCACAAGAATTTATTTATGTTGTGGGACATATAAGAGAGGAAGACTGTTTATTTTTTTATCAACGTTATAAAATTTATTGATTTCACTAAATTATTCATTTCACACATTTGTAGTTTTGATAACACACAACACACTGTAGCAGCACGGCGAGGACGACACCCGAATATTTGCGGTAGCGGCAGTCCGATGACGGCAAACGAAGATCGTCGATAGCTAGGCAAGGCAGCAGCCCGATGACGACGCACGCAGAATGACGGCAGCAAAGCACAGCGGCAGCCCGATGACAGCACTCGAAGGTTGGCAGCAGCTAGGCACAGCGGTAGCCCGATGACAGCACACGAAGAATAACGGCAGCCCGATGACAGCACTCGAAGGTTGGCAGCAGCTAGGCACAGCGGTAGCCCGATGACAGCACACGAAGAATAACGGCAGCCCGATGGCAGCACACGAAGGTTGGCAGCAGCTAGGCACAGCGGCAGCCCGATGACAGCACGAGTCGAGGGAACGTTTAAAACCCCACTCAACCCTACCGACTGCTCTCACTGCGGTCTGAGAGAGGAGGGAACGTTAAAACCCCGCTCCACTCAACAGCCGAGACACTCACACAAACCTTAGAGCCGAGGGAACGTTAAAACCCCACTCAACTCTAAAGCCCACACCAACATATGTCTGGAGAGGGAGGGAACATTAAAACCTCACTCCACTCAACAGCCGAGACACACACACAAAAACCTTAGCGCCAAGGGAACGTTAAAAACCCCACTTAACTCTCTAGACTACACAAACTAACTAAATTTACTGCCAAGGGAACGTTAAAAACCCCACTTAGCACAACAGCCATCCACAGAAGACTGTCCCGATTGTGTCGATTTCGCCTCCTTTTATACTGTTTCAGTGGCTCGATGTCGACTGATTATATTTTGACGCCGTACGGATCTCATCGTCGTTGTTCAGGGTTAGTCTATCATATGACCACTAGGGGGATCAGTTTGACCGTTAATTTCAAAAAAAAACCGAATACCATAAATTTCATATATTTTCTTTAAATAACTAGTAATTCAATTATTGTGTCACATAACATAAAACATGATTCCAAATAAAATATTAATACATTTATAATTCAAATATTTTATTTAATTTTGTGGCCCAAAAACGAGGTTCCGACTTTTGGCCCGTCACATTGAATATTTCTGAACATTTTTACAGAATAAAATGTCGATATCGCAAAGTTTTGACTGTCCATAGAAAAGATAGAACCAATGAGTTTATAGCAGAATTAATGATGCAGAATCGCATACGCCATTGTAGGAGCGACATTTAAACCATTTATTTGAAAATTTCGATATCCCAAAATTTTGAATGTTCATAGCACAAACAGAACCAATGAGTTAATAGCAGAATAAATGATGCAGAATCGCTTACGCCAGTATCAGAACGAAACTTAATGCAGTTACTTGCTAATTGCACTCGTCTAAACATTCTTACAAAATTCGTGAATTGTCGATATCCCAAAATTTTGACTGTCCATAGAAAAAATAAAACCATTGAGTTTATAGCAAAACGAATGATGCAGAATCACATACGCCATTGTCAGAACGACTTTTAATGTATTTATTTGCTAGTTGCATATTTCTGAGCATTTTTACAGAAATTCCTGAAAATGTCGATATCCCAAAATTTTGACTGTCCATAGAAAAAATAGAACCAATAAGTTTATAGCAGAATGAATGATGCAGAATCGCATACGCCATTGTCAGAACGACATTTAGTACAGTTATTTCCTAATTGCACACGTCTGAACATTTGTACAGCAATTCCTGAAAATTTCAATATCTCAAAATTTTGACTGTCCATAGAAAAAATAGAACCAATGAGTTTATAGCAGAATGAATGATGCAGAATCGCATACGCAATTGTCAGAACGACTGTTAACGCATTTATTTGCGAACTGCACACGTCTGAACATTTTTACAGAAATTCGTGAAAATGTCGATACCCCAAAATTTTGACTGTGCATAGAAAAAATAGAACCAATGAGTTTATAACAGAACGAATGATGCAGAATCACATACTCCATTGTCAGAACGACTGTTAATGCATTTATTTGCGAACTGCACACGTCTGAACATTTTTACAGAAATTCCTGAAAATTGCAATATCCCAAAATTTTGACTGTTCATAAAAAAATAGAACCAATGAGGTTATAGCGGAATGAATGATGCAGAATTGTATACGTCATTTAATGCAATTGTTTGCTAATTGCTCACGTCTAAATATTTTTACAGAAATTCCTGAAAATTTCAATATCTCAAAATTTTGACTGTCCATAGAAAAAAGTTTTACTGCACAACGAATGATGCAGAATCACATACGCCATTGTCAGAAAGACTTTTAATGTATATGTTTAATAGTTGCATATTTCTGAACATTTTTACAGAAACTCGCGAAAATGTCGATATCGCAAAATTTTGACTGTCCATAGAAAAAATAGAACCAATGAATTTATAGCAGAATGGATGATGCAGAATCGCATACGCCATTGTCAGAACGACATTGAATACAGTTATTTGCTAATTGCACATGTCTGAACATTTTTACAGAAATTCGTGAAATTGTCGATATCCCAAATTTTTACTGTCCATAGAAAAAATAGAACCAATGAGTTTATAGCAGAATGGATGATGCAGAATCGCATACGCCATTGTCAGAACGACTGTTAATGCATTTATTTGCTAATTGCACACGTCTGAACAGTTTTACAGAAATTTGTGATAATGTCGATATCCCAAAAATTTGACTGTTCATAAAAAAATAGAACCAATGAGGTTATAGCTGAATGAATGATGCAGAATTGCATACGCCATTGTCAGAACGACATTTAATGCATTTGTTTGCTAATTGCTCACGTCTGAACATTTTTACTGAAATTCGTGAAAATGTCAATATCTCAAAATTTTGACTGTCCATAGAAAAAATAGAACCATTGAGTTTATAGCAGAACGAATGATGCAGAATCACATACGCCATTGTCAGAACGACTTTTAATGTATTTGTTTGCTAGTTGCATATTTCTGAACATTTTTACAGTAATTCGTGAAAATGTCGATATCCCAAAATTTTGATTGTCCACAGAAAATATAGAACCATTGAGTTTATAGCAGAACGAATGATGCAGAATCACATACGCCATTGTCAGAACGACTCTTAAGGTATTTGTTTGCTAGTTGCACTCGTCTGAACATTTTTACTGAAATTCGTGAAAATGACAATATCCCAAAATATTGACTGTCCATAGAAAAAATAGAACCAATGAGTTTATAGCAGAATGCATGATAAGAATCACATATGCCATTGTCAGAACGACTTTTAATGTATTTATTTGCTAGTTGCATATTTCTGAACATTTTTACAGCAATTCGTGAAATTTTCCCAA